GGGTATTAAAGAGAAGCCTGGTATTCACAGGGACTGTTTGAACACAGGCATGAAGTTTATTCTTTTTAAAGATTTTATTTATTTATCGGGTGGGGGCACAAGCAGGGGGAGGAGTAGGTAGAGGGAGAGGAAGGCTCCCCGCTGAGCAAGGAGCTGACTGGTGGACTCGATCCCTGGGATCATGACTTGAGCCAAAGGCAGAGGCTTAACTGACTGGGCCACCCAGGTATCCCATGGCATGAAGTTTAAAAGTGAAGACATTTACAATGGGAAATAAAATAATGAAAATAAAGTGATGGGTGTTCAGGAGTATTTGAGAGAAATAAGGGCCCAAAGTCAGTTTGGAATTAGCTAATATGTCAGATTGATAGGTTTTGTTTTGTTTTGATGTTGTTCTCTACCTTTTTAAAAGCATAAAATAATATGTATAATCTATACTCACACACTTCTTTTGAATTATTTCCTTTGCCCAGTATTTTCTGTCTTGCTTAGATGTGCTTCAGGCAATAACATATTCTTCATAGGACTGTAAACTTTAACCAAATTACTACAAATATTCTTTTTAATTTCGCTCTCCTAAGCAACACATGCAATTGAGATATTTGTAAATATAAGGAACCAAATAGACAGATAAACAGCTAAATATAGACTGTGTAGAATAAGACTTTTAATCTGGATTTTACATGAAAGGGTTGCAATTTGGTAAAATGACGTAGAAAGCACTTTTAGGGTTGTATAGATTAAGGATGGTGCCTGTGTTGGAAAATAATGAAATAGAATAGCAATGAACCTTCTGGACTAAAACATTGAGGAAATGCAAACTAAGATGATTCTATTCAGGACATTGACAAATGGCATAATTAAAGCATTACAATTTATAAGAGTAAGTAAATAAACTATAATAAAAAACCAACAAAAATATTGTCCAAGTTTTATTTATTAGACCCCAGATATTTACCTAGCTTGCTCTTTCACGCCTGTTCAAATACCATCTCTTAAAGAAGCTGTCCTGGAGTATTCTACTTAAAATAGCTGAATATAGGTTTAGAATGGAATGGAGTTCTTAAAAAAGAGAAAAAAATAAAAATTTAGAGAAACCAGCAATATGTATTTGAAATATTCTTTGATACTACTACCAGAAATACTGCTACCAGAACTGAATAAATGCATATATTCTGCTTAGATAATAATCATTAGGAAGATCAGATACTATCAGGGGCTCTAGAGTTAGATATATTAATCATCACTTGAGATAGGTATCTATGCTAGAAAATTAATAGTGCAACTTTTTTTGGGAAGAGACAATATAACTTGAGATAATCAATAGTGTTACAGAGCTCTGTTTGGTTAGATTAATTGATAATTTTTTCTTCCAAACTTGCTTTCCATTTGAATTAGGTGAGTCTGTTGGACTCACATTTATTCTGAATTTAATGCATATTTTAAAAGGTTTATTGAGTGATTAATTGATGAATTGACTCATTTACAATTACTTTTGTGATATATAGTGATATGGTAAAGGAATTTAGATGATCTTTCATGACAATGTTTTATATTATTTATATTAGCAAGTTTTATCACAGTACCATTCTAGCAAATATGAAAATGACTAAATAATTGTATATTATGGTGGGAGAAATCAAAGTGTGTAGAGATTAATGGTTTAGTGAAGACCACTGATAATGCCATGGATAGAAGTTGGAAAAAAAGAATGATTATTTGTCTTAGTTCTAGTATTTCTTGCAAAAAAGTATATGTAATTTCTGTCAGTGAGATCACTGTTGTTTTCTGCATTAAGCCCTAGAGCAGATTCAAACATGTCCATATAGATAATTATAATAAGAGAAAGGAAGCATGTTGATAAAATATTTTATTATTATTAATAATAATAATATAACCATGGTTATAAAAATAGCAACTTTATTTACAGAAACTTTATATACAAGTCATAACCACAGTGTTCCCTTTTTGGGCAAGCATCCAGCTATACCACTAAACAGGCAGCTTATCAATTTCCTATTTACACCAAGAGAAACAGTCATAACATCCATAGTATTCCATTTTCAGTTTCCTAAAGACAGAAACTTTCTGTGCAAATGGAAATGAACCTACTTAAAATTACACTGTCAAGATTTTTGGGACCAGAAAATTTTAACTTTTTTTTTTTGTATTAGTAAATTCTTAGTACGAAACTCAGTTGAACATTGAAAGAGAACTTCTTTTGGAACTTTATTGTGAAAAGTATTTACACAAAGACTATGTCTTTTTATTCAAGTTAACTTTATCATTCAAATGAGTTTGTCTATAAATACAGGATATAATTAAAAGTTATCTTTGGAATCTTAGTAAATCAATTTGAAGTTTTTATAGTATGAGAGTTTATTAAAACTCTTCACCTCATGATTTCTATATTGCAATACTAGTATTTCTTTTAAAAAAGAAAGAAAATATTTAGAAACAACAAAATGTCTGACAACAATTTCTCACTTCTTGACAATGCTTTTTTTTTTTTCCAAGAGAATGTTGTGGCTATAACATTCACTTTGTATAGTACCATTGGTACCAACAAGAAATATTCACAGGAATAAGTGAAATACAATTTTGCTATCACATGCCATTATTGTTATTTTTCTTGCCTTCCAGTGTCTCATGTTTCCCATAGTTTGAAACACTTAGATAGCAAGCAAGAGCCTGTTAATACTAGAGATTGACTCAATATAAACCATTTTACTGAGGACCTGCCCACAGCAAATAGGTAAAACTCATTACATATTTTACAATAAAATTAAAGAAGTATACAAAAGGACTTATCATCCCTTCTGCACGGCAGAGGCATTATGACAAATATTTTAATTTTACATTACTATTCCTGGCAGACATAAGAAAATGTCCACAATTACAACAGCACATACCATTATTCAAACAGCCCAAACAAAAATAACATTGAAAACTTCTAATTTAAAAGATCTTTTTGCCCATTACTCAAAATACAATGGAGTTCGGCTTAGTTGGATTTTTCACTTTTTGATTAAGAAACGAATGCCCAGGAAATAGTATCTTTCGCCAGAAAAAAATGACATGATTATTCATTGTCCTACCACCTAAAATCACATGGATCATCTTGCTTTTATTGTCAATTCTACTGATCTCCCCTTATTACAAAGGGAACTTCTCAAAGCTAGCACTGCTTTGTGCACCATGTCTGATGTTTTATTGGTGGTATGTTTTCACCCTTTAATAAAATGGAAAACATTGAGTTCAAAATATCTAAAAAGTTAGCTGCATCTTGTGTCTAGGTAATCCCTCTCTCTCTTTTCATGGAAATTTAGAGGAAAAGACAAGAAAGAAAATCTTAAAATGTGAGTATTTAGACATATTAGACTTTCATAAATATTTTACAAACATCATTAATATATGATTTAATCAAATTTTGCCAGTTCATCAAGAAAAAACTGAAAAATTATTTAATTTTGGGACAATATACCTTTGAAATTCCTAGTGTTTTGATTAAAATGATATATCCCATAAGGAAAGAAAAATACAAAGAAGATGATGTGGACTGACAACTTTTCGGATCTCTCTTTGCTTTCACTGTTTCTTGATACCAGAACATATCTTATTACAATATGTTCAATTTGTATGGCACAATTTGGATAGATATTTCTGGGTTTGCATAGATATTTCTGGATTTGCTGTCCTGTACTCTGTGGACTAAGCTTTCAAGTAAATTTAAGAGCATTTTACTCAAGATTGAACTGTGTCCTATGAAGCTTTAAGAGCATTGTTAGGATCTCTGGGCTTAATTGATGTCAATCAAGAGAAACAAATTAGAGAAATGGGGATACTGGTTTGGAATCACTCAAATAATTATTTTTAAATTTGTACAGGGTGATTTTGTGAAAGTTCACAGCCTATCCTATTAGAACTTTTTGTCTCATTTCTTGACAAATACAGAGTTTTTAGTTAATCATGCCAAATACAATAATAAATATGATAATTTGGTATTATGAGACAGAATACAAAACTTGAATAGATATTCCCCCATGGCATTTGAAAGATTTATGTAAAATGAAATAAGATAAAATGAAGAAATTTTCATAAAATATTTCATTCTGCAGATTTAACTCCCCTTTAAAAAATAACTGAATTCAGAGTTTAGACAAGCTAGTTCCTTTCATTTCCTTTTTTTTTCCCTTCACTTGAGTAAAGTCTCATTAGGTGAAAAAACTTTCAGGTTGAGAAGTGTATCCTGATTTTTTTTCTTCAACATATACTTTAATTCATAGTTTGATGAAAGTCCATTTACAAATCTTTGGGGACATATGGAAATTTTCCTCTGAAATAATTTTTAAAAATTTAAAGACAATGACCTCAAGCCAATCACAGCAGCAAGTCTTAGAATTAACCTACTTAAATACTTTTTTAAGCTTCAATTAGACAATTACCTAAGAATAATAAAGAAAATACTTCAGGAAAGTAGATCTAAAAATATCTTACATAAATAAGCATCCCTAAATTTGAAGGAAAGAAATAATACTGATACACATATTACCCTCTTCCCTTTAAGAATTAGAAACTACAAGATGACTAGGATGATAAATCTATTTAAACACCTAGAATAGGTGTTACTTAACTTTGTGGGTCATGACCACACCTTAAATGTCAACCAGTAGAGGTCATCTGCAGATTACATATAGAGAATGAGCTGGTCATTTCTATCTTGCACCTTTCCTTAAAATTTCTACTGGTCTTTAAAAATTTCTGTTTTTCTCTTAAGGAAAAACTACAAGTACACACTTTCAGGATATTTAGAGGTTACATTAGATATACCATGATTTGAACTCTAGTGCATGCACATGTGTACCAAGGTCTGCATAGGTGGGCACATAATTTTGTAGAAAGTATGTAGACCAGTATTAGAGGATACACAGTGAGGAGAAATGAATGAAATATAATGTATGGCATATGAAAGGTAATATAATTTAATACAGAGTTACAACTTAAGGACAAAGGCATAAATTGTCTTTGTGAGGTTAAAATAATGTTTAACTTATGGTTTATTCATAAACTAACTTTGGAAAGCAGCGTAGAGATTAATTGAACTTTTCCATTAAATCTTTTATCATCCAGCAATTACACCTTTGCAATTTTTAATCCATTCAAGTATCTTCAGGAGATATGTTACTACACTTGCATGTACCTTAATTCACTTCAACATTTACAAAATAACACTGACAAACAAAACAGAAAACACCCATAAATATTAATGAGTATCTTAACAAACATGACACTCAAGTAGTTGTCTTAGGATTGCTTTAAGTGACATTTTAATTCCATGTTCTCTGAAATCTTCATGTAAAAGAGAATTCTATTGATGGAAGATTCAGACAGAGTTACATCAGCTATGACTGTGGTATCTTATACGTTAATATAATTTTGTGTATCCATTTTGCATAATATGCTACTCGGACAAAAATGCCAGGACGATTTGGAATGGCACATCCACGACCAGGAACAATGACACCAAGAACCATTCTCATTTTATGTTGTTCACAAACAAGTGGGCCACCATAATCTCCCTAGGAAGAAGACATGCAACAGTAACAACAACAAAAAAGTATTATTTTAGAAACAAAATTAATAATTCATTAATATTTCCTATACAGATTTATATCTCAAATATGCACATATGCAAAAAAAGACAATAGCTGCAACTGAGATATGAAGACATAAATAGATGTACTAGGCCATTGGTCATCTTTCTATTGAATTACCCAAGTCAGACTGAGAGAAGTACAAAAGTTAAAAGTGTTCTATCTTGTGGAGTATTCATTTAAGAATGACGTGTCTAGGGGCACCTGGGCGCCTCTTGATTTCGGCTCAGGTTGTGATCTCAAGGGTCATGGGATCAAGCCCCACATCAGGCTCCACACTCATCATGGAGTAGGCTTGTCCCTCTCCCTTTGCTCAGCCCCCTGCTGGCACACACGCTCTCTCTCTCAAATAAATAAATTAATTAATTAAATATTTAAAATATATTAAAAAAGAATGACTTGTCTTATACAAAATATTCACTCATCTTTTAAAATGGTTTGTCTTTGTTGAATACAGATTAATTAACACAAAACAACTGATAGCTATTTAGAAGGTAGACTTTATATTTACTTTTATTTTCTTCTGATGTTCAAAATATGTTCAATATAGAAAATTTAGAAAATGTAAAAAATACAAGAACTTTTGTACTCTACCTATAATCATACAGTTTTAATGATTAAATTGCTTCAAAATTTCCCTTATTTCTAAAGCTTTTTACTTTCCTTCCTTCAATCTTGTCCCCAGAAAGATTTTAGAAAATTAAATATACATCATAATTGATAAAATAATTCTATTTACTATTTGGAAATTATGTTCTGGGGCATAAAGAAATAATATTCCTGCATTTACTGTTGTATTTGTAGTTAATATAGTTATATTTATATATTTTTTATATCTCATACCCCCCCTTTGTAGAAGGTATCCTCTAATTTCATGGCATTTTTTATATGGTTGCCCTGTTTTATCATCAGACACAGATAGATGATAGATGAAAGATGAATAGATTGATATATGGATTTGTGTGTATATTTTTATAAACATGTATATGTTAATTCATATTATTATATATAATTATTACAAATATGCTGCATCATTTTCATGCACTATGTAGCCTTCTAAGATTGCAATGACTGGCTTTTGGCATCCTTGTGTGAAGAAGAGTGTTTGAGACTACCTTAATTTTCTCTTAATAGTGATGTGATGAGATAAAATGAAACTACTAAGGAATTTAGTTCTGTAACAGGTGTAAAGAAGAGTGCTATCAGCATTGTATGATGGGGAATATCAGGATGGGGGTGAAGCAGGAGATAAAACAGTAGGGAAAATAGGTTATTCTAAGAGACATATAAACTATGCCACATGAGTTAATAAATCTGATTTTTTAAAAATGCACCAGTGATTACTGATACAAACTCTTCAAAGCAATTCACTTTGGCAGACTTTCACCAACTGTGATCCCATTGCTATTATACAAATGTTTGGGGGGTTTTCTTCAAGTGTTTAGATTTCAGTGGCTTCAGGGATTATATTACCTTGTTTTAAATATAAGTGATATTAAAAAAGCATTCTGGAGGATAAATGCATTTTTGAGAAATGGCAGAATCAATTTAAAATTGCCCTTCAAAATGGATAAAAATAACAAATATATGATAATGTAATAAATAATTGAATGCAAAAGTTAGGAATCTAACAATGTATAAATGATAAATCAGATCACAGGCAATTCCTGATGAGTGGTGGTTGAAGCATTTTTAGTAATGACAGTAGGGCTGGATAAGTTCATAGATTCTTAAATGATCTTGAAGATTGGGTTGAGCTCAAAACTTTGTGTTTTAAAGGACTCAGTGTAAGTAGGTAGCTAAGTAAGAAATAAAGAAATAAATAAATAGTAAATAAATAAATAAATCTCTCTTTCTCCTAGCAGATTTTCAGCTCTAATAATGAACAAAGTAATACTATTTACTAGGAAAAGATCAAATTTGAAAGTGGTTATAAATGCATAACTTGTTTCTAACTATATCATTTTAAAGCAGTTGTTTAAACTCTTTAACTTATGAAACATATTTTTTTCAGGAATAGTATCTCAGACCAATATATATAGCACATGCATGGAAATACATATTTATGCCCCATATTTATTTTCCTACATGTCAAAAGATATTTCACTATTTATTGATTTCATTCCATGCCTTACCTCACATAGTATTCCCCAACTCCAAAGCTCCTAGGCTTGGAGACTGTGTCTCTTATATTCAAAATACATCTAAACACTCCAATCAAAAGACATAAGGTGACACAATGGATAAAAAAGCAAAACCCATGTATATGCTGCTTAGAAGAGAATCATTTCAGACCTAAAGACATATGCAGATTGGAAGTAAAGGGATGGAAAAACATTTATCATGCAAATGGAAGTGAAAAGAAAGCCAGGGGTAACGATACTTATATCATACAAAATAGACTTTAAAACAAAGACTGTAACAAGAGATAAAGAAGGACACTATATAATCATACAGGGAATAATCCAACAAGAAGATATAACAATTGTAAATATTTATGTACCCAACATGGGAGCACCCTGATACATAAAGCAGCTAATAACAAACATAAAGGAAGTAATGGATAGTAATGCAATAATAGTAGGAAAACTTTAAGACCCCACTTACATCAATGGATAAATCATCCAAACAGAAAATCAAAAAAGAAACAGTGACTTTGAATGATACAATGGACCAGATGGATTTTACAGATATAATCAGAACATTCCATCCTACAACAGCAGAATACACATTCTTTTCAATTACACATGTGACATTCTCCAGAATAGATCACATTTAAGGCCACAAGACAAGTCTCAACAAATTCAAAAAGATCAAAGTTGTACCATGCATCTTTTCCAACAGCAACACTATGAAACTAGAAATCAACCACAAGAAAAAAATCTGGAAAGACCACAGATATATTTAGGTTAAATAACATGCTACTAAACAATGAATGGGTCAACCAAGAAATCAAAGAGAAAATAAAAAAATACATGGAGACAAATGAATATGAAAACCCAATGGTCTGAAATCTTTGGGATGCAACAAAAGCTGTTCTAAAAGGGAAATTTATAGCCATACAGGCCTACCTCACAAAAAGAAAAATCTCAAATAAACAACCTAACCTTACACCTAAAGGAGCTATAAAAAGAATAAACAGAACCACAACCCAGGGAATAATAAAGATTAGAACAGAAATAAACAAAAGAAACTAAACACACATACACACACACACACACACAAAAAAAAACAATAGAACAGATCAATGAAACTAGAAGCTGGCTCTTTGAAAAGATGAACAAAATTAATAAACCTTTAGCCAGAATCATCATAGAGAGATACAGAGAGACAGAGAAAGATAGAAAGAGGAATCAAATAAAATCAGAAATGAAGAGGAGAAATAACATCTGACACTACAGAAATACAATTATAAGAGAATATTATGAAAAATTATATGCCAACAAATTTGACAACCTAGAAGAAATGGATAAATTCCTAGAAACATATAACTTCCCAAAACTGAATCAGGAAGAAATAGAAAATTTGAAAACAGACCAATTATCACCAATGAAATTAAATCAGTAGTTAAAAAAACAAAACAAAAAACCTCCCAACAAATAAAAGTCCAGGACCAGAAGACTTCACAGGTGAATCCTACCAAAGATTTAAAAAATAATTAATACTTATTTTCAAACAATTCCAACAAATAGAAGAGGAAGAAAAGCTTTCAAATTCATTCTATGAAGTCACCATTACCTTGATATCAAAACCAGATAAAGACACTACAGAAAAAGAGAACTACAGGCCAATATCTCTGATAAACATAGATGCAGAAATCCTCAACAAAATATTAGCAAACCAATCCAACAATACATTTAAAAATCATTCACCATGACCAACTGAGATTTATTCCTAGGATATAAGGGTGGTTCAACATTTGCAAATCAATCAACATGATACATCATATGAACAAGAGAATGGATAAAAACCATATGATTATTTCAATAGATACAGAGAAAACATTTGACAAAGTACAACATCTATTCATGATAAAAACCCTCAACAAAGTGGGTTTGGAGGGAACCTACCTCAACATCATATAGGACATCTATGAAAAATCCATAGCTAATATCCTCAATGGGGAAAAACTGAGAGCTTCTCCTATATTGTCAGGAACGAGACAGGGATGTCCACTCTCACCAATGTTATTTAAAATAGTACTGGAAGTCTATTTTAGTCCTAGCTACAGCAATCAAACACCAAAAAGAAGAAGGAAGAAGTCAAACTTACACTATTTGCAGATGACATGATACTCTAAATAGAAAACCCTAAAGACTCCACCAAAAAACTACTAGAACTGAAAAGTGAATTCAGTGAAGTCACAGGATACAAAATCAATGTATGGAAATCTATTGCATTTCCATATACAAATTATGAAGTAGTAGAAAGAGAAATTAAGAAAACAATCCCATTTACAATTTCACCAAATATAATAAAAGTAATAAACTTAACCAATGTCGTGAAAGACCTGTGTTCTGAAAACTATAAAACAATGATGAAAGAAATTGAAGATGACACAAAGAAATGGAAAGATAGTCCATGTTTATGGACTGAGAGAACAAATATTGTTAAAATGTCCATGCTACACAGAGCAATCTACAGATTTAATGCAATCTCTATCAAAATATCAACAGCATTTTTTCACAGAACTAGAAAAACAACCCTAAAATTTGTATGGAACCACAAAACACCCTGAATAGCCAAAGCAATTGAAAGAGAAGAACAAAACTGGAGGTATCACAATTCTAGATTTTAAGATATACTAGAAAGCTGTCATAATCAAAACTGTATGGTACTGGCAAAAAATAGACACATAGATCAATGGAACAGAATAGAAAATCCAGAAATAAACCCACAATTATATAGTCAATTAATCTTCAACAAAGGAGGAAAGAAGATGCAATGGGAAAACGACAGTCTTTTCAACAAATGGTGTTGAGAACACTGGATAACTATGTGGAAAAGAATGAAACTAGACCACTTTCTTACACCATACACAAAAATAAATTCAAAATGGATTAAGGACATAAATGTGAGACTTGAAACCATAAAAATCATAGAAGAGAGCACAGACAGTAATTTCTCTGAAATAAGCCATAGCAATAATTTTTCTAGATATGTCTCTTGAGGTAAGGGAAACAAAAGCAAAAATAAGCTACTGGGACTACATCAAACATCAAAATGAAAAGTTTCTGCACAGTGAAGGAAACAGTCAACAAACTAAAAGGCTATCTAATGAATGGGAGAAGATATTTGCAAATGACATATCTGATGAAGGGTTAACATACAAGATATATAAAGCTTATATAAGTCAACACCCAAAAAATAAATAATTTTCCAATTGAAAAATGGTCAAAAGATATGAACAAATATTTCTTCAAAAATACACAGATGGCCAACAGACACATGAAAAGATTCTCAACATCACTCATCATCAGGGAAATGCAAATCAAAACCACAATGAGATATCATCTCATACCTGTTAGAATGACTAAAATTAAAAACACTAGAAACAGCAAGTATTGGCCAGGGTGTGGAAAAATAAGGAACCCTCTTGCGCTATCAACGAGAATGCAAACTGGTACAACTACTGTGGAAGACAATATGATGGAGTTTCCTCAAAAAATTAAAAATAGAACTACTGTATAATCCATTAATTCTACTACTGGGTATTCAACCAAGAAATATGAAAACACTAATTCAAAAAGTTATGTCCCCTATGTTTACTGCAGCATTACTTACAATAGCTAAATTATGGAAGCAGCTCAAGTGTCCATCAATAGATGAAAGGATAAAGATCTGATATATAGACTCTCTCTCTCTCTCTCTCTCTCTCTCTCACACACACACACACACTCACACACACAGGAATATTACTCAGCCTTACAAAGAATGAAATCTTGCCATTTGCAGCAACATGGATGAATCTAGAGAGTATAATGCTAGTGAAATAAGTCAGTCAGAGAAAGACAAATACCATATGATTTCACTCATATGTGGAATTTGGTAAACAAAACAAAGAAAAAAAAAAGACAAACCAAAAAAATAGAATCTTAATAGAGAACATACTGATGGTTACCAGAGGGGAGGTGGGTGGGAGGATGGGCGAAATAGGTGAAGGGGATTAAGAGTATATGATGAGCATTGAGTAATGTATAGAATTTTTGAATCAGTATACTGTATAGCATAAACTGATATAACACTTTATGTTAACCACACTGGAATTAAAATTTTTAATAAAAATGTTCTCAACTTGGGCGCCTGGGTGGGTCAGTGGGTTAAGCGACTGCCTTCGGCTCAGGTCATGATCCTGGAGTCCTGGGATCGAGTCCCATATGGGGCTCCCTGCTCAGCAGGGAGTCTGCTTCTCCCTCTGACCCTCCCCCCTCTCATGTGCTCTCTCTCTCTCTCTCATTCTCGCTCTCTCAAATAAATAAATAAAATCTTTAAAAAAAAGTTCTCAACTTCAGAAATAATTTTAAAAGCACAAAATATGCATAAAAATAAATAGATAAAATTTAAAATATTAAAAAAATGTAAAATAATGGTTTAACAGCTTGTCTATGTAAAATAGGGATTGGAATACTGCCAAGTTGAAAGAACAGTTGTCTAACAAATGAAAATGTTCAAACTCTTAAAGTCACCAACTTCGACCTTTTGGTTTTTGAAAATAGAATTTGTTTAAACCACACACACACACACACACACACACACTCACACACACTGGCTTAACCAAAAACACATTTAAAAGTTTAAAACCAGACATAGAGTTCATTTAGGGAGAATTTGGGAAGATCAGATAACTTTAGAAAACAGAAAAATGTAAGCTATTGTATCAAACTGCATATTGCATACTTTTAATTTGAACAGCTTTCCATTAGAGTTCTGGCTGTATTAGTTTATTGCTTTTTTGAGACAAATATCATCATAGTTTGCTGACAATGAAACTTGGATTTTCTTACTGTTTAGTTAAAATAAGTGTACAAGGATAATGAAGGGGGTTATCTTTCCCAGTTTCTCTCTCTTAGAACAAGTTGGTAGACAATGATTTTTATTTGAGAAAAATGGACCAAAAAGAAACACAAGAAACTATGATATTTATTATATACTTATTTTTTAAAAATGTTCTTTTTACCTCACATGGTCCTGATACAATATTTTCAGCTCCAGCACATATTTCAGACTCATTCAGAGTCACCTTCCCTTGATGGTATTGGCTGCATTTCTCATTTCCCATAATATAGAGATGTGCTACTCGTAATAGACCATCAGAGGTGATAGCTAAAATGGGGTAAAAAATGTACAGTTAATGAGCACAGGGTAAGCTGAGAAAAATAAGAGACAAATAGAATTGTTTTAAATAAAATAAGTATGATATTGCCTTATCATTTTAAATATAGCTTACATCCAGTATAACCCCAGCCATAAACACTGCAAGTGGTTTTTTCAGGAATGGTGCATCCATAATTAGGTAAATCGATTGTACTAACAAAATCATCCAGGACAGCAGGCCTGAAAATAGAAAACACAATGGTAAATACCCTTGATTGAATTCCACACAAAATTAACAAATTAAAATTTAGTGTTAATTTTTAATATGAGATTAAGAGAGAATAAACAGTCTTGTTTCTTAAGAAAAAGGGAATGTCTAATATATAATGTATGTAGTAGAGGTAGGAGTAGGTAGAGAGAAAGGAGTCACTTACTTGCTAATATTACCTGCTAAATGGTCACTGCTTTTTTTTTAATTCATTATTTTACCTATTAAAGTTATCAAATGATCATTCACTAAGTTTTGGTGTTAAAGCAGGCTGATCAGACTATTTGTCAAACTTCATTTATTAATCTTTGAAAATTTTGAAGATGACTCTCTTTGTACACACACATACATATGACGTGACATATGCTTTTTTTTTTTAAAGATTTTATTTATTTATTTATTTGACAGAGAGAGACACAGTGAGAGAGGGAACACAAGCAGGGGGAGTGGGAGAGGGAGAAGCAGGCTTCCTGCCGAGCAGGGAGCCCGATGCGGGGCTCGATCCCAGGACCCCGAGATCATGACCTGAGTTGAAGGCAGACGCTTAACTGACTGAGGCACCCAGGCGCCCCAACATGTGACATAAGCTTTTATAATAAATTTACATAAAAGAGAGAGAATAGCCACATAGCTGAAGAAAAAGCTTCACTAATTCCATTGTAGGTTAAAAAGGCAAAACATTAACAAGCAACTAACCTAGCAAGCTTCAGTAATACCAGATCTGATCCTTCAGGTCCATATACCAGCTGGGAAACATTTAGAACCTGTTTGCGTTTCTCGTCACCTCTTCCATGGACATCATGAATCCCAAGCCAAGCTTCATAATCTTTCAAGTCTTTGTTTCTAAGTAAAAAATTAAAATGTAAAATATAACTTTAAATTGGGTGATATTGTTCAAACGTATTATTATTTTAGCTTATAAGGGCAGATAAATAAACTAAATTTAAAATTTGAATCAAAGTATAATAAAGAGCAACACATTCGTTATCAGAGATTCTGAAAGCTACAAGCACACATAAGCAAAAAGAGTTTTTAAGAGCTATTTAAGAAAAAAAAAACTTTTGATTATGCTTAAGAGTAAATCACATGTGAAAAATTCTCAGGTAAAGCACATTCTATGAATTACAATTTTCTTCAGATTTTCCTTCTTAGTTTTGTATATGTTTGGTTTATCAATGAGGATTGAAAATTTATACTAACAAAATCAATGACCCTGATGAGAATCAGGAAGTAAGCTTACGAATGCTGCCTCCTTAACTTTCCTTAGGCTAATTCTCATTAAAATTTATTCCCAGGATGATTTTGAGGCTGGATTTACATAAGAAAGGAGGCGTGAGATTTGAGATAAATTTTTGATAATTCAGAAAAGAATTTCTATCTAGACATAGTATGCAAGGAAGAGTTTGAGGAAGAATTATTTACATAATTCTAGCAAAATTTCCCCCCAAATGAGAGTAATGCCAATTGTGGAAAGAAGTGAGCAGAAGCAATATCCAGTCGTAAATATCAATTAAGTCAAATTAAGCTTTGTGAGCTAAATCTAAAGAAAGAAATTAATTTGTTCCTCCCTTGTTGGTGAATCTGTTAAATGAATACACATACTAAGCCTAAAAGCTAAATGGAAGCCCTACATATTTTTAAGGGCTCAAAACAAATATTGGTTTCAGAAACACTTACCGAGAAGGGAAACATTGTCTTGCAGTAAGAATCCAACTTTCCTTTATCAATGATCCTCCACAGATATGTTTATTTCTATTAGAAAGAGGAAAGAGAAACAAGTAACATCTGTGTGGAAAGGGTGCCTGCCAATTAATGCAAAACCTATGGCTCCATTTGTTAAAAAATAAATGCATTTGAGAGGAAAATATAGAAATTAACTAGAATAAAATGAGTAATGCTTTGACTGGAAAGATATTTGATGATTGTAGCATTAGCATTTTTTTCATAATGTGATTACAATTTTAGGAAAATAACTTTATTTTTGTATAAGGAGGCCTGTCACTACACACCAACATCCATTGTGTCTCTACATATGTGTTCACGTGTCTGTGTCTCTATCCTTGGGAAAGCAAGTACGTACTACAAAAATAGAATATTTAAAATAAACAAAAAAACCCACAAAAGAACAACAAAAACAATGTAGACCTCTTTAAATTCAGTGTCTGATTGTAAAAATGCAAATTTGAGTTTTTACCTAAACGGTGAAAACTATCTGATGGTAGTAATATATATTTGTACACTATTCCCTTCTTTCATTACCATTATTTATTTTTGATACATTAGAACATTGCTGAGTTTGAGTAAATTTGTTCAGCTTAAAACAAGCAATAGAACATTTCACTTATAAAATTAAAACAATTTTGTAAGACATCATCTAGGAAATTATAAAATATTTGTAGAGAATAAAAAACACTAGTACATTTATTTGATGATATCCTAAATCTGTAGATGCATTATTTTTTTGGCAGAGAAATGGAAAAAGCACAACTTTTCACAATTTACATTTCTAAAAAGAATACAGATGTTCAGTGCTTCAGAGGGTAATAGAAAGTTCCCAGACTAAGACCACAATTATTTATGGCCTGTACCACAGAGGAAGATGAGAGTGTATATCGAGTTTTAATTTCTGTTCCTCTCAGTATGTGTTTTGGAAGAATAACTAAACAGCTGTTTTTACTGAGGACTTGGATTTAAAAGAAAAATATATTTATCTAGAAGTTTATACTACTCTAATCTGATGGAAAAGAGTTTCACCTGTTCCTCTAAGGATGGAGACTTCCAAAGGAGTATTCTCATACATTCTCCCATGGGTAATGATAAATTTAGAAGTATATGCCCCTTTTTTCTCCTGGAGTTATGAGATTTGCAAAGAATCACTAATTCATTCAGATATGTGGATTCCTGAAACATTTTCTTTCATAAAGAAAATGAAACACTCTTCCCCCCAAATTGGCAGCCTTTATTAAATCTTTTATGTTTCATAATTGGCTGTAATATTCTGGTCGGTTTCACAATTCTGTTTCAGTACTACGTATCTAGGACAGCTACACTAATTTGTAACATAAATATTTGTAAATTTTGATGGGTTACTCCTTGCAAGAAGGATATATTAAAAGAACTTTAGGCCATCTTCTACTTGGTATCCAAAGTTTTATGTATATTTATATCAAAGGATATAAACTCCATGCTTCCTAAGAAATTGGATTATTCATAAAAGAACTTTGGTTTCAAGTTGTCTTTATTCTATTTTAATGTCACTGTGATTTAACTGTAGCAAAAGATGTACTTTCTTCCTCTACTCTAGGAAGTTAGAGGTAAAGAAACAAAAAGGGTCTCCAAAAAGAGGAGGTATCCGAGTTAGTATTCGAAGAATGAGAAGGATTTTCCAGGCACAAAATATGGAGGAAGAAAGCTACAACATTTAGTGGGAACAACAGCTTAAATGTTTGGAGGGAGAAACATGGAGTGTCTTAAAAACAAGGGAAAATGTGGCTAGAATTCAGGTGCATTTTGGGGTAGGTTGTATGATGAGGTTCCAATAGAGACAGATACAAAGATACTTTAACATTCTGATTACCATATGACATAATATATGTAGTATGTAGGAAGTTGTAAGATCAGATGTTAACTCCTATTTTCAATATTTAATTCTTCCAACATAATTACTAATCTTAGTTTTTGTATACGAGTATATTGTGCACAATGATTTTACTGAGAACATATCTTTGATTCTTAAGAGCATTGAAAAATATACATGTCAAGAATTTTTTTTATCCATACCAAATAGTATAATAACAAGGCTAGTCAACTCTCAATATAATTTGTTAATCTTTTTTTAAATGATAAAATATTCTAGAACTTATAATTATTGTTATTTTCATTAGAATTACGATGACAAAATTTAGAAATTAAAAGCAGATGTAAATTTTCTGATATGATTATGCATAGGCATGTTAAAAAATAAAGTCATAATATCCTAGATTAGGAAAATAATATGTGTGTTACAACTACTACAGTGATATCAAGGTATAAATAGGTTTTCTGTGTAGTTGTGTTTTCTCAATCACTCTGAAGTGTCACTTGTAATCAGAGACAGTGCCAACACATATGGGACCTCCGTGAACATTTCAAAAGACACTATGTCTGAAGGCACAAACTGTAAAATACAGGGCTGTTTGGCAAGCAGAATATGGTCAGTCTCCTCTTGTGTCCCACTCAAATGGGTGCCTGTGTGGATGGCACAACCATCCTGTTGGGAATATGACTTTTGCAAATAATCCAAATACATTCTATTTGTGTCTATTAATAATTACCTGTATTTCAAACTAACCATCCATCCTACATTAGTTCGCGTTGGAATTCCATTTACAACTCGTAATTGTTTTGTTTTGGCACAAGATATTACAGGATCTAAAAAGAGGACCAAAGATAAATAACATTTTGACAAAACATTTTGAAATAACCAATGCCTCTCAGTTTTCTTAAAACAATGATAATTAAAGAATTGTAAATGTAATGTAAAATGTAATGTAAAATGTAACTACTGTAATTTTGTCAGAAAAACATTTGGAGGGAAAGAAGGTAAGTATTAAGACTGGAGTGTCAAATCAGGTCTAAAATGTTTGCTATAGATGGGTATATCTAAGGAGACAAGTAACATAGAAAAATGAATCAACTCAAGGTATTTCAATATAAAATGAAACAATGTTATTTATAGTAGTTATTTCTAAATGTCAATGGAAATCAGTAACCTCAAAAAAACTGTTTTTATTAATTTTATTGCGTCTGAATTTTTATGATAAGAATATAGAGCCATTTTGAAACAGATTACCAACATTGTATTTATTGAAATTGTATCCAGATGACATAATTGTTATATCCAAATCATTATATCCAAATGACACAATACCAAATTCTTTGGAGTCAACTTTTTCCTGACTCTTCTCCGCATTCCTTTCCTTATCCTTT